TGCGACTGGAACATCTCGCCAGCGAACTCGAGCCCGAGGTCACTTTGACAACGCCTCCGGCGCGAATCGACGTCTCCAATCTCTTCGTCGGTCTGCGAGTGACCAAAGCCACAGAAATGTCGCTGCTCGCCAATCAAGAGGCCTCTAAAGCGGATGAACGTCGCTTAAAATGGCCTACAGAATCGGTGGCGCCCAGACATTCCGATGGCAGAAGCTCCGAGAAGCCGTGGAGACGAGGCCTTCGCAAGAAACAAGTCATTGTGAATGTCGAGGTGGGCACGATCAAAACCTTCCTGCTTGACTTTGAGAAGGCCTGATTGGTCGGATCTTTGAAGAACCTCTATGCTGTTGTCTATAAGCCCGAAATCACTTAAAATTCACTTCATTTTGACAACTTTCTAAGATTTATTAAGATTTATGTTATTTTTCTTGACACTATGCCTGCTGATTTCGTGCAATCAACAGCCTCCTCCCTACTCTTAATGAAGCATCCATATTTTATTCTATTTTTAATACAAAATATTACATTATCATACACTCCTATGCTGTAATATTTTCATAATTAAAACCTGGAATAAAATGATTGAATATCCTTATTATGTATATTTCTTCTTTTGTCCTATCATGAGGAGATAGCAGAGGATTAATATTTAGAAAACTAAGGTGATTTCTTTTATTATCAAAGGACAGCCAGGGTATTGATATTATTTTAAATACGAAAATAAGTAATTTTTAAACAAGAACAGAGTCATACAACATTTCGCAGGGGGATCCAAGGAGTGATAGGAAACGCCTTCCTCCAACTCTCTGAGTAAGCCGTAAAATCCCACTATAAATGTGATTTCGAGGAGAAATGGCTTGTCTTGAAAGTCACACCTGCTCCACAGCCTATTGGCGTGCACACGTGGCCCCATGAAGATGGGGTAGCTAGTCGCTACGATACGCTCGACACAGCTTACCCTCGATTGGAAACGTTGTAATGAGGCTAGGCCAAGGGAAATTTACTGGCATCTTTAGGGATTCTCAAATAACCGTGGGAAAATTCCATTTATTTAAATAGCAATAATATCAAATAATATTCAGAGACTTGACAAGACTTAATTATGAATACATAAATGAGAATCTAAATAACTAATTACTAATAATACATAAATACTTATGATAGTAATAATAAAAATGAACATATAATAATTAATTAATAGATAGCTTAGCTAGTAATGAGAATTTATGTCACCCTAGGTTGAATGTGATGTAGGACTGACAGTTGAATCTTCCCACGTAAGTAGGTCTCACGTCTCCACTTTTGTGTAGAGATGTGTTTATGAAAGCCAAACATGTTGGTTTTATTGTCAATTTCTTTTCTAATCCTGCAAATAGGATCAAAGTAGACCTTGGTCTTGAGGCTGTCAATCATCGGCAGCATGAAATAAGTAGCATGGCTCAAAATAATTATCCAATAATATTATTTGAGAATTACTTTTTATTACTCTCAGAAAGAATGCAGTGTAAACAGTGTTTACGATGGGATAGACACTCTATCCGTTTCTTGATATGGCCATCCTGTCAGCCTTCGAAAAGTATTGGCGAATTACTGAGAAAGGGGAACATCATAAAACAATGTATAAAGAGAAGTTGACACAATCGTCAGTTGTGCCTGTATTTCGGGAATTCCCGGATCAGGATGTTACAAGTTTTTTGCTCATATGACAATGCCTAAGAGGGCAAAACCCACCGACCCATCCATACAAAGTTATCAGATTATCGAGTCTATAGGAATAAAGAACGTCCTGAATATGAATTAATGTGATCATCGAGCAGAAACGATTTGGGGTTTTTGGGTGAACGTGCGGAGAGACAGAAAGAAGCTCAAAGGAGGAGGTTTGCATACCTTGAGTATGACTAGGACTCTCATTTTACATGACTTGGACTGGGGCTTGCATACACACAACATGCAATATAAATTTTAGTCCACTCTTTTCCCTCAAATTACGAAAAAAAAATCCGTCACATAAACCAGACTTGTGTCCGAGCTTTTTCAATCAATGTAATGATTAAAATACATTATCCATTATATATATATATATATATATATATGAACACATGAAGGCACATAAACACACAAAATCAGGCACACTCACATGTCATGAGGTTGACACATGATTTGAACTAACCAAATCACTTTTATACCATCATAAAAGAGTCTAGAGATGAGAAGATAAGAATTTTTACTCATTTGCTTAAAATTGTTGTAAGGTTGCACTGGTGATGTCCATCATACGAAGAATGAAAGCTTTGCACTTTTTCATCTGAATCGAAGGAGATTGTCTCGGGGACAGCGCCAACAAGAATGTTCCAGTAAAGCTGGTCAAAATGAATCCGATGATGGTAGTCTTATG